CAGTGGATTTAGAAACCAATTAAAAACAGGGGTTTCTAATGATATAATTAAGAGTTACCACTTAATCTACCACCAAGAATCTGAGTGTTCGGGAATGAGACCGTTAACAGTGCCTTTATGCTTTCCGGTGTAAGATGGTTGCGTAATTTCGACTTGAATGCCAGTAACTTAGGCGATAATCTAATTTCAGGCGGAAGATTATTCCAAAGGAATGCATATTTGGAAGCAAAGAAGAGGGAGCGCTTAGATGTAGTACAAAGAGGCGGCGGAATCACCATGCAGGAGTTGCGCGTGGCATTAGACCGATCTTTCGGAGTGAGAGTGTCAGTGTGCGGAAGACTGGGGCTAGAGTTGATGCGAAAAAGGAAGCAAAGGCCAGCTTCGAGTCTTCTAACCCACAAAAACTTAATGTTCGCCAGCTGACATCTCTGAGTATAAGAAATACTGGACGAAGCTTGAGAGAACAGTTTCCGGGTGAAAACTCTGTGAACATTTTCGATTCTATTACGGTCGCAGGCGTTCATTAAACCGAAGAAAGGACAGCAGTATTCGAGGACTGGAAGAACAAACATTTGATAAAGTCTTAGCTTCATTTCCGGAAGGAAAAAATTATGCGATATGAATCCACATATCTGCGCGGCTTTGGCAGAGATTCTATCTGCATGAGGTGATAAAGCAAGCTTATTTGTATAACTTAGACCTAGGTCCTTTATGGTGAGGCATTCTGAGAGTGGGTTATTCCGAAAAATCATGGGACCAGGAAGTTTGGTGGGACCAAAAGACATGAAACTACACTTGGATGATGAAAATTCCATCTGCCATGTCGAACTGCTTAAGCGTAGTGAATCGGCATTAATTTTTTCAACACAAACATTTGCGGTGTCCTTAGAGTATGAGTAAACACACTTGAGGTCATCGGCATAAAAAAGTTTGCGAATTTCCGAGTTCAGTCGAAATATCATTGGTGTATAGTAGGAAGAGTAGCGGACCCAGAACCGTGCCCTGAAGTACGCCACTCGTGATGGAGTGAGGTGTCGAGTAGCTAATACCAAGAATGACTTTCTGATATCGGTTGGACAGATAGGACCTGATGAAGTCGACTAGAGGCGGCCGGATGCCGAGAGCTTCCAATTTTACTAAAAGACGTCTATGGGGCACCTTGTCAAAGGCTTTGCTAAGATCAAAGTAAATAACTATCACTGACTGAAAGGGTGTGGAGGACAGAGAATACCAGTAGCCCAATAGAACACTGCCTCAAACTTACCCTGCTTTCATTCACCCCTTTATTCTAGTAGCCAATATATCGACGAGCACCCGTTCCTGAGAGAATGCATTTATACATATATGCACATCAGAGGAGAGACATTAGAGACTGAAAGGCAGGTTAATGGGGAACTGTTTCGGGTTTGCCTGTTTTCATTCAGCCATTCGTGCTTCTGACCATCAGTTGGGGCCGGAAACACAAACATGCGCACACAGAATTGGCGCAACTAGTCCACCGCTGGGGTCTACAAGATAGGTCGTGAGCACTTCATCAAATCATAGTTTATCGGTACCAAGCCATATACCATCCTCTGTCACTGTGGATCGGATATTTATATCCTTAGAAATGGGCGCACACCGATCCATTGACGTCCCGAAACGGACAAGTATCGTGAGGATAGATTGATGCATAACTGTCTCTGGCTCGTCTGTTTATATGTATGTTGGTGTGTATATAAGATTCGCAGAAGTGAAGAAGAAGAGTCGAGCACCGGAACACTCTGTTTATTGTCCTGAGTTTTCAGACTCGTACAGGAGTCCATCGTCAGAGGTAGCGGCAGCAACAGAACAAGCGACAGTTATGAGGCAAGCAGGCTAATCATCGACCGGCGACGCAAGAATGGAGATGACTACGCAGGGCTCTGTACGCCGGCGCCAGATTGATAAATCGATTGACCGAGTTATCATCGACACTCAGGCTTCAATAAATTCTTGGCCTGTTTTGTTTCCGGCGTGGGCGACTATTTTGGTGGCTGCAAAGTTAAATTCGTGACCCATTTCGTAGGTATGAGCGGCCACTTGTGATTATGCGTCGCCTCGTCACACAGCCAGCTTATGTTCGTGTATACGCGATCCGAGCATGCGCCCAGTCTGTCCTATGTAGCTACAAGGAGAATTTTGACACGGAATGCGATACACTACTCCAGATTGTTCATCAGGTTTTAACTGGCTTTTGATTTTCATGACCCTACTGCGCATGGTGGCTTTGGGGCGGTGTGAAATTCCAACACCTTGCTTCGCAGCAATGCGCTCAGTCGCTTCTAAAACGCCCTTGATGTATGGCAGAGAATGCCATATCGTCGGTGGCGTTGATGTTCGAGTTCTCTGGTGGCGACCGCGTAGGCAGCGACTTATGAATGCCCTCGGATAGCCATTTTGCTCAAACTGGTCGCGGAGACAGCGGGCCTCACGTGCTCTGTCCTCCGATTTGCTGCAATGAGTTTGGATCCTTTTGAAGAGCGTCTTCACACAGTTTCCTTTGTGAGTCACCGGATGATTAATGAGAAAACTGAGAAGCTGTGTGGTGTTCGTTGCCTTCCTATAAACCGTCGTTCCAAGTTCACCATTAAGGTTTCGTCTGGCAAACACATCCAGGATGAACAACTACTGTTCCTGTTCTTCTTCCTTCGTGAATTTTATATCAGGGAATATTGCGTTGAGCAGGCTATGGAAATGTTGCAGCATGTCCTCCTTTACGATGACGAACGTGTCTTCTACGTAACGGCGCCAAAACACCGGTTTATTTTGGGTGAAGGAGATCCTTTCTAACTCCTGTAGGACCAGTTCTGCATCTAAACCGGAAACCGGTGAGCCCATTGGGGTACCCTTGATTTGTTCATAGGTCTCTCCCGCAAAAGCGAAAAACGTTTTTTGGCAGAATTCGAACAGCTTCATCAGGTGTTCAATTTTGAATGCATTCTGAGTCTCATCGTACTCCTCGTCAAGTATCTTGCGCAGAACTTCGCGGGTCAATTTTGGTGGGATAGATGTGAATAACGACGTCACATCGAAGGAGACCATGATTTCGTCCGACTGAATCCTCCGACCCCGGAGGTTTATGAGGAATTGAGAGGTTGATCGAACTGAGGTGGTCGAATTGTCTTGGAGGAACTTTAGTTTTGAATACATCCACTTTGCCAAATTGTAGGTGGGGCTGCCTTTTAGAGCAACGATTGGCCGAAGTGGGACAATTGCTTTATGGATTTTCAGCAGATCATAGAATCGAGCTAGAGCGGTGTCAGTTGCCTTCATTTGGTGGCATTTATTCTCCGTGATCACATTTTTATGCCTGTATTCTCTAAGCAGTTTACTCAGCCAATCTGCCACTGCTTTGGCTTGTGACTTCTGTGCTGGTCTGTAAGATTCTCTTTAATCAAGAAGAGCTTTAGCTTTTCCATTATAGTCTTTCTATTTATCATGACGGTTGATAGTCGATTGTCAGCAGGTAGAATGATAATGCCATCGTCCCTCCTCAGTTCCCTCATAGCCTATGACGCACTCTGCGAAATATATTTGGTTGGTCTGTGTGTCATCAACAAGGAGGTAAAACGTTGTCAGACGGGGTCTTTCATGTCGTCGGATGTTTCCCTTCTCACAAGCATAGCTTCCAGGGCTGCAACGAAGTCGACAGGATCGGCATCTGCAGTGTTGAAACAAGTTTCATGCCGTAACACTCGTAGTTGCTGCTCTGTTAGCTGCCTAGACGAGCGGTTGTGGGCCAAGTTTGAGCTTTCTGTGCCTGGTAGTTTTAGTTATGTCAGTTTCCGTTCCAAAACTTCTCTCTTCTTGGCTTGCCTGTGGTGTGCTAGGGCAACTTGGAAGTTGCACATATATCTGCTTGCCTGCCAATCCCCCCATGTTAGTCGTCGTGGTCCACTAAAATTTTAAATTTTTAAACTAAGTGGGTTGATGATGAGAAAAAATAACCAGGTCGAGTAGTGTACTTTCAATTCACGAGATGCCGGAGAGCTTTCCCTATAGCATCATGTTTAAACGCATCGAAAAGAGCCCGAAGTGTCGAGTTTGGCTGCTCGCGGTCTGACGATTTGGGTTGTCGAGGTGAAAGTGTTTTTCGAAGGTTATCCACAAAATACCAAGTCAAATAACGTAAAACTATGACTTTATTTCAAATAGTAATGTGCTTCAGCTATTTTGAACAGCCTTTTACGTTCCCCATTCATGACAATGAGCGGGCTGGCAGGCCTGATTTGAATTGTTTGGAATATATGCGTTCTGCGGGGACATCGAGCTGAGATGCCATGTGGTTTTTTCGGAACACACGGCGAATGCAAGTGTGACAGACTCGTGTTATTCGGGAACTATAAGAAAGGCTCAGAATTCCGAACCTTAAGGCGTTGAATGTCCGATATTTCTTGGGAAAAGGATATCGGACATATGTGATCACACATTTATGAAAAAAACAAAAGCACGGAGAAAACGCTGCTTACGTGAGGTTACCTGTGCGTAATCCTCCGCAGGTTTGTATTCTTGCCGGATTTACCTGTCACGCATGTGCCGAATAAGTTGCGGTCATCCTCGATTTTGCGAATAAATCTTATAACAAGATATTCTTCCTATTAGTGGGTCTAAGAGACAGAGTAGCGCCTATGGTTTAGTTTTCAGTAATTTCCGCGAATATGGTGTTTGTCTGGGCAGTACATCTTTGAAGTCAATGAGTCGAGTCACAGCTTTCATACGTTACATGAAGTCGCACTGGTTTTGTCATCAGCTAGTTTACCACTTACCTTTTTAAAGTAGGCATCTATGCTCACTATCACTTTTGGCTTCTCCGACCACAAAAACGTGTTGTCCATCGTGCTCGCCACCTGAAGTTTCCGTCCCTGGCTGTTGCGTTTAGTGCGAACTTTTGAAATCTCCCAGCTGTCATCGTTTGTTTGCTTTTCAACAGGCTTGCGGAACCGACGCAGATGCCAACTTACAACAATCCACATATTGTGGCACTCTGGTGTCCTGTGCACGGGAGCGTTAACCGATGAAAGCACTCGAATAGCATTTTTTGGCGATTGCCCGCCTCCCACGGTGTCCGTCAGAATAAAAAGTGATGTGATAGCATTTTCTGAAGACTAGGGTCTAATACACTGCACCGGGATTCTCGAGACCATTTGGACGCACGACCGTTGCAGTCGTGGAATGCACTCACCTGATGGTTTTGCTGTCTTTTTGGTCTCATCGCACGCAGTTTCTTGAACTGTCGCAGGCGAACGTCGTTAGTCCTGAACCTACTTATTTAGCCACAACTCTTCGTATATTTTGATATGTTGGAAAGGCGTAACTTTTGTAAAATGCCGGGGTTTTTGGTAACAAAAAACTTCCTGACGATCTCTAACCGCCTCTTGCCGCTTTGTAAGATAAGAGGTCGAATGAACTGAAATTTAAACGCAGTAAGTTAATTTATGCAGTGAGAACAACAGGGTGCTTTTCTTTGCGGTTTAACCGTGTAAAACGTGACAGGAGCAGTCGGCTCCATGCAGCGAAGAGTTCATCTCGTTCGCGCCGTAGGTTGGAACCAACCTGATGCGCATTGTTTAGGGAGTGCTCGAAAAATATGTAGCGGGGGACTTCGTTCTCGGAGTGACCTTTATTGGGCTTAAAAGTACAATTCGGACTCCGTTATGGGTGCTTTCAGTCTCACACGACCTCCTGATCATGTTGGGGTCAGTGTCATCTTTTAAAGTTAGCGATACTAAAATGGGCTTCGCCGTTTGTCTCGCTTTTTTTGCCGTCCATCACTAATGCCTCGGTGGACCCCATGCCATAGGTTCACGACCACGGAGGATTGATTTCTATTACTTTCAAGCCTAGTAAATCCAGTTGCCATCCTATTCCGGCGACCAAAGGCTGCAGGGTTAGTTATACACTCGATATCAGTTTTTACAGCCTCTATCCATGTCTTTAGCAGACTACATCGGAACCTTCCCTCTGATCTCGGATTAGATACCGTACTGGGAGATTTCGCTTTCAAGTCGGTAAAGCACATGACCGAGTCTTCTCAGTTGGCCATTAACGTGGACGCTTTTAATGACTGACTGCACATTTGTTTCTTGGGGACACAGTAGAAAAGACCACTTCGAATAATGAGGCGCGAACTTGATCGACCGAATGCGTTCAGGCAATGAGTATTCCCTTAGTCCGTAAGCCTCGTTCTTCGTCTTTCGGGGAGCATTGTCTTGACATACGTCAGCACTTCAAGCCAGCCTCTCGCCGGTTGCGGAGATTTTGATTGAGTGTGACGAAGGCTGTGCGAGCCTTGTTCCTCCGATGGTTTTATCTGTGCCCTACCCCTTTCGCAAGAGGTTCGAACCAAGGCAGCACAAACTGTCTTCCAGTCGTGGTTTTGCGGTCTACCTCGGCTGGGTCGATGTCTCCGATCGTAAAATCCAAGAAGATAATCGTTTTAAGATCCACTGTGTGTGCTTTTTTGCTATTCTGGGACACCACACAGTGCGTTTTGTCCAGTGAGCTCGCTGGCATCGCGACGCCATTTGCTCGATAATGTTCTTTAATACATGGGCCACGACCTGCTGCAACAGCGCATACAGAGTAACTAATATGTCGTGCACAACGTTGATGGAGACTGGAGACGACCTAGACTGAATAACCTTAGTTATCATTCGCACGGAATTTGGTTCGTGGACCTCTTGAAGAAGGCAACTTGTAGTCTTAAGGATACGGCTGGACTGTCATCAGACAACGCCACCATTGAAAGATGACCGAAAACATTGTTAGAACACGACGTAGGAATCTGGACCAACCTTAATCTTCACCGGCACAGTAGATTGTTATATGCTTTTCCAGCATTCACTGAAAGCCAGCCGATCAAGAAAAGGAAAGACCTTGTTTCTTTCGTTGAGCGAGTGATTACTGCCCCAATAAGTGATCTGACGAGTCTACTGCTTACTAGAAACGGCATTTATCATAACAGACTCAGCCGGCGTCATATTGTAGGCTCAGGAAAATCGCTCTACACACCAGTCGGTTGAAAATACTCCCGAGGAAAATTACGCCAGTTGGCAAGTCAGCCCCGGAGACCGCAGGACAAGAGATGCGCTTGTGATTAGCTCATGTCGCGTATATCCATGTTTTTAAATGACCACCTTGCCGCCGTTGGCAGCCAGGTAAGCAATGTCGAATTTCAATGGCGGTAGCTTCAACCGCCAGCGTTCGATCCTGTCATTCTTCATTTTCATTTTTTGATTGCCGTAGATAAAGGCAACGGAACGCTGATCCGTAATGAGTTTGGTTACAGACGAGGAAGTGCTTTCATTTGCGTATGGATTCCCCTACGCCGTACGCTTCTTCTTTGATCACTGGGTGATATCGCTCCTTTTGGGGAAAGGCTACATGAAGAGAAGGCTACTGGTCGGTTACTTTGGTTTAGTGCATCAGCGATTGAAACGTCCGAAGCATCACTTCCGATAACCAATGAGGTATCATGCTGAGTAGTGGCAACTGTGGTTTTCGCAAGTTCTTCCTTAAGAGCCGCAAATGCTTCCATTGCATCTAATGGCGAGGGATAGGTTCTTTTATGGATGAGCAGATGAATTTTATTTGAAAAATGGAATACTCATTGTGAGTAGCATGCTAATAATCACACGGCTTGTTATTGAGACTTTATGCGGCGAAGTCATATCACGCAAGGACCTTAGTCTACCCAGACCCGATTCGGTATTGCTGTTGAACGCCTCGTAGCCAAGACGTTTGATTCTCTTAGCAACAGTGACACTTTTTGTTTCATCAAACGTTACTCCGTGATTTTCGGCCACGCTAAGGAATTTCCGAGAGTTTACGTCATGCTCCGCAAGGCAGTCCCCACAAATGCTGATGCTATCCACGTAGGAGAAAATATTCTTCGGGTGCTTGTGCGTAATTATGTCGTCGATCGTTCGCTGGAAACATGCACCCTACTAGTCATACTAACTGAGATTCGACAAAATTGATACGAACGTCCACAAGCTTCAAAGACAGTGCATAGTCTTCCCTATGCCTGGATAGGTATCTGGTGACAGGCGCTCTTGAGATCAAGAGTGTTTTACGTGTCGTAGTTCAACCATTTGGTCTCTCCCGAGGGAACGGGAGGGATAGCGGAGCGTATATTGGTTGATCGTTTGGCTATAATCAATCACGCGCCTTCTGTGGTTTTCATTGGCTACCACCAGAACTTGGACTCGCTAAGGGGATAAATCTCTCACTTATGTTAGTAGGCTCACAATATTTTGTTGCGATAGGCTTGC